TAACAAAAAAGAGAGCTTAGGGGCCGTCATTGTTCACAACAATTGCACAAATTTCCAGATTCAACAGATAAGTGTTGAGTTTAAGTTGCAAAGTAAATAATATTTCTACATATTGCTCGAAGTAGAGCATAGCTTACTTCTTGTAGATGCTTCTCGAGAGATTTAAGCTTCAAATCTGCCTCTTCGTGGTCACGAATCAAGTCAGATCGCATTTCTCCAACAGATTTATCAAGGTTGTAGTAATTCAGTTCAAGTTGTGATAGGCGCGAGCTTATTCCCTCGAGAAAACGCAAAATATTATCAGAATACTTTTTCATGCTGTTCTCAACAGTAGAAATCACATCTTGTTTCATGGAATCTTCTGGCTGACCATAAGCAGCAGCAGGATAAACGGTAGATATTCTGCTTTTGTGAAAATCCTGCTCAAACAAACATTCAAAACTCAATTATTCATCCAATAATACACAATGAATCAACTATTGTTGGATAAGACACAAAACTCGGTTAATCAATTCGATGAAACCGATAATTATAAAACTTAATACAATGAGACAACTGAGGATAGAACCCAGAAACATCAAAAAGAAATAATAATCAATGCAGCCAAATAATCTCATGGATGTTCTTCCTCTGTAATTTCAATTTCAACAATGAGAGTCAATATCAGACAGAAAATATAACAGTGTTCAGCTCACTTCTCACTATGTCTGTTCACGAACTGATATACCGAACATTGATATATCAATTGTCTGTTAACGAACCGACTATTATGAAAAAGATTCAATTCCTTGCGAAGGAGGAGGATGTAAGAACATTTCTGAGCACACAATGAAAATTTCAAGATCTTAGGGGGAAACGCTCATTACACTCAGGACCAAGTTGTACACAGCTCAAGCAAGATTGAACCACTTTGTTCCACTCTGCAGATTGGACAGTACTACCAACACTATTGACAATCAGGATCAAATTCAAAGTTACTTCAAAATGGATCGACTCAACCGTAATACACAAACTAAAACCAATAATTGAAAGCATACATCATTACAATCCGAAAAGGTCACTGCACGAATGTTTATCCCCAGCCTCAATCACTCATTTCCTAACCCAATACAAATCATTGTTTAATAGCGAGTTATTCCCGTCGACTATAAAAACGTAACTTCAACAATCCAAAACCCTAATCGAACACTCAACAATAAGAACTCGATAATTTTCTTTCAAACATCCAACAAGACATAACCACAACCAAAAAACCAACCGCAGTAATATGAAAACAACTAACTCCGACCTACCTTGCTAGAATTCGCGACGGAGAGATCGCTATGGCTACCGTTGGAAGATTCCTGGTTGCCGTAGTCCTCATAAGAACAAAGAACATCATCGGTACCAAAATCAAACCCCTTAGAGCCCGAATTAGGGCGACCAGCTGAACCAGACGCCATGGATCGCAGTGGGAAATCGGAAAGACGGAAGTAAAACGGGGACCGATTCAAAGAACGACAAAAGAAAGAGAAATAGATGATTTTTTTTTCTTTGCGATTATCGAGAAGGAAAGTTTCTCCTTATGGCTCTTTCCGCGAATGAACTCCCCATGGATTTGGTTCAGAGTAATCTTATAGAAACGAATTTCGATTTTAAAAATAAATTAAATTACAAAAAAAAAAAAGGAAAAATCGAAGAAACGTTAAAGGCATGGGGAGATGACTTTGTTATAATATTTTGGATGATTTGAAGTGTACGGCCAGATATGAAATTAGTGATATGGGCTCGCCGACCATCTTCCAATTTTGCAGATCAGTCCTTCTATTTTGGTTCATTTCCAATTGTTGCCTTTGTTTAAATTATTGTTGATTAATCAATAATCAAGCTTAATTATTCTGTGGTTTTGCACTAATTGGTAGTTGATTTTTTTTTATATCTTCTAATTTTCTGTCCACCCATAACCTAACTATAATTATATTTTATAAAGTTTGGATTTTTCATTAAATTTTATTTCGACTTTTGTTATTATTTATTTTTTTAATCTATATATAAAAAATGGTACATGCTCCGGATGCCAAATTCTTATTCGTATTGTCGGAATAATTCTAAAATAAAAATGTGATTTTGACCATTTTACCAACCGAAAAAAAGTATTAAAAAAAAAACATGTACAACTATATCGAAAACCTTGTATCTGTAAAGTAAACTAGAGTCGTTCTCACTGTGCTCGAGAAAACCCATAAAAATCTTCAGCTTTATACTAAAAAAAATTCTAAATTTGTTTTTCAATAACTTAGTATATGTCAATTGTCGTTCAATATCAATCATGTTCACGTGTTTCAACTATAACATGCTTAGTAGCCTACATTATCTAATTCTTTTCTTAAAATAGATTTCTAGAAGCTCGAGTAGATAGAACTCGTACGAACTAACAACTGAACGACTCAGAAAACAAGATTCTAACGGATCGAATCAATCGGGCTTTATTTCGGTATAGAAAAAGCTCGAAAAGGGCTAACCCTTTTACAAAACATGGCCTAAAGACAGACCAAGTTGAAAATTGTGTGTGGTTTGTGTTAAGTCTTTTTCAAAAGAAGAGGATCCAAAAGAGAGTGAAGAGAATAGAGAAGAAGCAAGAAGTAAACAAGGAGTCCAAGGAGGCCTAAAGCCAGAGCTCCACTGACTTGCCTACAATAACTTGCCACTTGGTCGCATATTGGAAGCCATCCGGCGTATGAATTCCCATTCTTTCCTATTTGCGCCACCGCCAACGCCGCCGCGATGCTCGAAGTCAGCAGCATCGTCAATATCTACTTCAAAAATAGCGTCAGATTAGCCATCGAAACAGAGTGGAAGAAGAAAAGGGTCCCCTGTTTTGAGAGTTACCGCATCGAAACAGAGCACTAATCGCCAGAGCAAGCTCTCCGCCGGAAGAAACAGCACGAAAAACCCATAAACACTCGCAATAGCATTTGCAATCACAAAGTACCTCAAGAACAACAACAAAAAAACTCGATTCAGAAAGGAAAAAAATGACCCATAATCCAAGAACACAAGAAAAAGAGATGGAATCTCACTTGAAGGCTGGTGTATGAGTGTATTTGGCTTCAAAAGACAGGCTAAAAAACCTGGCTTCTTCACGACTTGCGGCCATAACAACGGCAGCTGAAAGGGTCGAGCCCAAAGCAAGAAGCCTTAATAGAAGCAAGCAAATTCTCTTGGGCTTGCCCATTGAAGAAATGGGAGGTGATTGTGGGAGATGGGTGCTCTGTTTTTGAAGTGATTTTAAAAATGGGTCGTTGAGGATTCTCAACTGTCATCGCCACCGCCCATTTGGGGGCCAAAATGGTGAGGTGTGGGGGAAATTAAAAGGGTTGGTGAACAATGGCGTACTGGGTTTGGATTTTGACGAACTGCTAGAGATTTGGAGATTTCGGTGTTTGCTACACTCGAGGTGAGACAGATGGTTCTGTTCGGCTGTTTTTCACCTAATTCTTCCCCCCATTCCTCATTTTGTTCAGATTCTTTCTAACACATTTGGCTGAGTATAAGTTCTTAAGACTTTAGTTTAAGGAAGTCTTCAAAAGGCCTAATACGAATGAAGATAGTATTTCTCACGTATAAATCCATAATCTTTAGCTAAATTAACTAATGTGGGACTCACCCAGTAATCTTCAACAGAAATTCACTAGGTAACAAAAAAAACATCATTAAAAAATGATATGAGACAACAACACGAAGTGATGAAACATTAGAGATCGACCTGAAAAGTCAATAATGATTTGTTTAATTTTTTTAATTTAACAAATTTTGGATACTTATTCACTAAACAATGTTAGAACGAACATAATAATTTAAAATTTAGTGGTTCAAATGCTTTTGAATTTAAATGAACAAATTTTGTTTGTAAATAATTTTAGTTGAATCTTCAAAACATACGTTATAAATAATAATAATAATAAATAAAGAAATTCGTTAAGTAAAAATAATATTTATAAGCTTAATTTTAAAAAACAAAAAACAAAAAGTCAAATAATTATAAAACAAGTCATAAATATAACGGATTTGAAAGTATATAATATATATCAAAATAGGTGAACTTCAAGAAAGTACCATATACCAAACTATACTTTAAATCTTAATTTTAAAATAAATATCATTTTTGGAAGTATTTATCTAACGAATTTAAGTTTTTTCCCAAACTAAACACATGTATGCAAACCTAAATCACCCACTTACATTATCGGGTAGAAACCATATTCAAATTATAAACGTTATATTTTATAAACCTACGCCTAACAAAAATAAAAAGTTTTGAACCAAGCATTAATCAATACACTTTATTATAATTTTTTAAATTAAAAAATCTATTAAATTTAAAAATTAAAATTTATGCTTCAATTAAGTTTAAATACTGTTAAATATTATCAATAATTTTTAAAATTTAGAGATCTATTAAATATAAAATTAGAAACCAAAATATTAATATTAATTTTTAAAAAAATACTGTTTTTAGAAGATTTTGAATGGGAGATTTTTATAATATCTTTTACTTTGTGCAATTAATTGGGAATTAAATATTTCAATTGGTGGGGATAGAAAACAGTGCATTAAATTTCAATTGCTGGCAAATTGCAGGCTGTCAACTTGAATTTCCAACTCACCCATTCTTTGCCACGTGTTATTCTCAGGATTCATGCCTCAAGCTTAAATTACCTGATTGCCCATGAAAACAATCCCCCATTTCTTCTATTTACCAAATTGCCCTTTTATTTTTATCTACGCTGTACCTTCCAAAATAAGGAAAATAAAAGGCAAGAGTATAAATTTGAACTATAAATTCTCTAATTTAAATTTATGTTTATAGATTCATAAAAATATAAAATTATGAAAATAATCAGCCAGGGGTATGAGCGTAAATTCACAAACAGACAAGTATAGGTAAAACTTTGTTTGTAGTGACATGACCACTGAACCGTAGCTTTCACATTGCTATATAAACGGCTCGTCTTTGCCCCCAGAAATTTCCTCTCAATTTCCCTTCAACAAAGAAAAGAAGAAAAAGCCACCTCATGCCTATGAAGAAAACAGGGCTGTTCGCCGCCTCCGTCGCCGCTGCCTCCGCCACCGCCCTCTCTGCTCCGTCGTCCTCCGCCGGCGTCCTCAAAACCACCTTTTCCCATCAGGTAAAATACCCAAATTCTCATTTCAATTCAAAGTTCATATGAAAACAAAATTCTTGGGAATTTCAGGAAAAGGTCATCAGCAGAGATGAAGAAACTAGTCCGTCGAGAATATCTCCGCCGTCGACAGCGCCGGATCAATTCGCTCCGAGATTCGATGGGCTGCGATTCATTGAAACTCTGGTCACTGCTCATAGATGATAAGCTTGGGAACTGGCGATAAATGGCCCGTCTTTTTTTTTTTTTCTTTTTCTTTCTTTTTTTCTGTATTATTATTATTATTATAAAAAAAAAAAAAAAAAGATCAATCACAGTGAGGAATGATCCCCAATCATGTATTACAAGTGGTGGGTTTCGTTTTGTTCCTTCTCGTAACTCGACCATATAATATATTTAATGTAATGACATAATATATACTTTTTATATGGTAATTTTGTACATTTTTTTTTATGATATGATTAAAAAAAGATGACAGTCACTCCTTATCTAGATATCACTACTTCTAGTGCTCTGTTTTGGTAATGACAAATTGACAACACAACTTTCCATCTAAAATGGTTATTAGTTCGATCATTCTCATCGTCAAAACCAAAAACAAAACGGGTCAGAATTAACGTTGGGAGTAAGTCAAATATGGCGAACAAGATTCAAATTTGAATTTGAGAAGAGCATCTTTGAGGCAAAAAGTTGGAGTCTTTTTCGTTAATGGGGTCGCACCCAAAATGTGGCTGAGGTTCAAAAGAATTATGATAATTGCCATTATTGTTAAGTCTTCTTCTCGACCCTAGGGTATGTTGGTTCATACTTATCTTTTATTTCGATATGGCGAAAATGGACAAACTAATATGGCAATTGGGTCTTATGAACCACACAACATTTTTATTTATACTTTAAAAGTTTTTAATTTATTTGGGACCTTTTAATTTTAGATTTAATGATTGGTTTTGTGTAATCAGACTCATATAATCAAATTTGAAATGGAATATTTAAATGCATAATTTGAAATAGACCGGTTAATTTTAATATGATTATGAGTACCATCAATTGCCGTCAATTTGTCTAAAATCAACCCGCCACTAAATATTTAAGGCCATGTTTGATAACGACTTAATACGTGGCGGTCGTATTTATAAATTTAAATATTTCAAATAAATATCGTTATAGAAATTTATAAATTTATTAGGACTAAATCGATAAAATTTTAAAAGTTGGAGACTAAATTTATAATTTATTGGAATTTGATGTTCCATTAGCAAACAAAAAGGAGGAAGATTATCCATCTCATCTGACAGCCATTAACAAACAACCAAGAAACAGCCGCCATTCTAAATCTTAATTCTATCCATTTGCAATTCATGCAATTTGAGGGCGTCGTTCTTCATCAACAACAAAAAAAAAACAATAATAAATAAAATAAGAAAGATCATCTCGACGGGTTATGTTCGTGTTCTAAAACAACGGACCGAGCAGAGCAAGAGAGCTGAGTCGATGTCGAGTTTGAAGGGGCGAAGCGGTAGAAGAGGCTTTGATATCACCTTTCTCACAAGATAGGCCTTCCTTGTCCCTCTTTGCATTGATTGGCAAGAGGCAAGGAGGGAACATTGTGTGGGCGCAGTTGTTGGACATGTCGTGTAATTCATCTACAAAGCCGCAGCAGAGTGCTGGTGGGTATTTGCGGCCCCTTGCATTTGGGCTTGTTAGGAGACTCTTTTATGAATGATGTGAGGTAAAGAGATATCCGCTCGACTTCAAAAGAGTATACAATTCAATTCAACTCAGCTCAACTTTCTATTTTAACGATGAGTTAGGTGGATCGAAGGATTAAAAAGTTCACTTTTTTTAATGGATTGAAGCAGCAATTGAACACCAACCAAAGCCCAAAACTGGAAATGGGTTTTCTTTGGTTGAACACTGCTAAAGGGCTTTACTTTTTTCGGTCATAGAACGTTAATGGTTGCTTTAGCATAAGGTAGATCATTAGGTTAAAAAATAAGGGATATTTCGGTCATTTTTTCCGACATGGTTTAGAGTTGAGGAACCCTAAAACTTTAAGCTTGATAGAGATTGAACAACAAAGCTTGAAGAGATATTCTACACAAAGGGGAGATTAATCTCCAAATAAAGTGGAGAACAGAGTGTGCGTGGAAAATTTGTTCTCGGGACTTAAACAGGGATGAGGACGAAGACATGCAATATTGTCCCATTTCGATTCTCGTCTTCATACCATTTGTTTTAATAAGTAATCCGATTAACTTCTTGGAAGCTTTAAATTTCTTCCATCCAAATACCGACACACAACATATCACCTTCATCTCTCTCAATTACATTCTTTGTTTATCTCTTTTACCTGCGTTTTAATATATGAATTTTTCTATTTCTTTTTGTTTTTTTTTTACATAATTTATGTTTTTAGAGATAAGATTGTTTGTTTATTTATTTATTTTTCATCATTCAAACTTTCAATATCAAAATTTTGGTAATAAGATTCCATTTCACCAAATCTTATCCTTCCATCTCACAATTTATAAAAATTAAATCCCATAACAAACAACAAATTAGTGATTAATTTATGTTTTTATTTTATTATAATTTTTATAAAAAAAAAAAACATTTTAATCTCTTAAAGTCAACTCACCAACCAATCTGACCTTCACCTAGTTTTCTTCTTGTTTCACACGACATTGAAGGGCAACCACTTTATAACGGTTATGTAATTCAACATTATCCATTTCTTTTAATTAAAAAAATAATAATACGAAAGTTGACTTTTGTCTCAATTGGATTGTTTTAGCTGATCTTACTAAAGTCAACTGTTCATAAATTCTTGGTTGGTCAACTAACTAACTATTAGTAGGTCATAATCCAACCAATTTCCAATTTGGGAATCTAATAAGGTGTGTATTTTTCAAAATAATTTTTAATGAAAAATAAATACACCCATTTTTTAATCGAGTAATATAAGATAAAAGTAATTTAAATTGTTTACCTTCTCAATCACATACGACGACATTGTATATAAAATTGTATAATTGATATTTACCAACCTTCAATCTCTATATTTCTAACAATGATATTTTAATTATCAAGATATTAGAAAAAATATATGTTTATTTATAAAAAAAAATTAACGGCATCATCACTTTAAAATATATATAAACTAGTTAAATAATAACACGACTCGGTGTAAAATAGATATTAAATAGCAAAATTGATATGCTGTATATATAAATATAGTTTGTATATAACATCATTTAACTTGATTGGTTTAGTTGGGTTGACGGTGGTAACGACGTCGAGGCGGTGGTCATACTTGACAGTTAGCGATAGCCTTCGATTGCTACGATAATGGAAAATTGATGATAAAAATTAAAACGCTATCAAACTTATATTTTATAGTCTAATAATCTACTCTTTTTTTTTCTTAATAAAATTTATGTTTTTCTTTTAAATTTAAAAGAAAAATAAATAAATTTTGAGGGATGATATATTATTTGACCTTCAAATTATTAGTGTTATTTAATAATAGCATGACATGAAAACATATAAAACAGCTAAATGATAACCGACTTAACATATAAAATAAAGCAACTTGTCCATCACAAAAAAATTATGTTTTTCATAAACTTTAGTATATACCATCATTTGGTCAGTTTAATAATCTCTATTTATTAATAACAAAATAATAATTTTATATACTAATTCAGAGCTATTTTTTAAATATAAATGATTAATTAAAATTCCATTTGTTGAATAATTTAAATTAAAATGAAACTTAAATGTATATTTTTATAGAAATAGAAAATAAAACAAAAGTCAAGACCACATAATAATAATAAAAAAAAAACAATTAAAATAATTTCGATGATTATTATGAATTTTTTCTTACATTTTCAATGAATTTACAAATTTTTAAATTTTTAAAATTTAATTTATAGATCATATATTTAATAGAATTTAAAATTTTAATTTTGTATAGTAAATATATAATTTATTTTTTTAAACAAAAAACTATAAAATTAAACTTCAAATACAAGACATTGTTCCAATACCTAACTCAATAAATTATGGTAAATTCAATTAATTATATTAATAATCCATTCTTCCTTAATTTACTAATGTCACTATGAAAGTTGTAAATAAATTAGTAACACCTTATTCAAACTTTCAACTCCTCATTTAATAAATAACCATTTTATTTTTAAAATCACTAATTTTTTTAACCAATAAATTCAAGAATGGCATTTAAAAATTGTTTTTTATGACATGGTCATAACTACTTATTATTTTAAAATGACGTCATAATTTTGCTTAAATCACAATAAAAATAATCAACGGTCAATTTAATTTTGCGATAAATGGAATATCCATCAAGAAAAGAAAAAAGAATTTATTGGGCCATTTTCTTATAAAAGTAATTCATAAATTTAGGGAAAACTTTGGGGTTATTTAATAATAAGCTTAGAATATTAGGTATTTTTCTATACAAAATCTTCCAGAAACCCTTTATTTTATTAGATTGTCACATTTTAAAAATTAATTTATTTATATACATTTTAATTTTGAATAAAAAATAGAATACATATTTTAAATAAAATTAAAAATTTAAATATCAAATAGACCCGTAACTCACACCATTGACATGTTCGATCTTTTATATATATATATATATATTACTTAATCTTCTAGAAAGGAATCAATTTCAATAATTAGTTTTATTTTTTATTTTTTAAGAATAGAAATCTTCTAGAAGCCAACATTTTTTTAGTGAAATTAATTACCACTCTCTTCCATTTCTCAATTAGCTTTCTTAGATTCAGATTCTAATTATGGCCAATTAATAATTATTTGAAATTAAATAAATACTTTAAAATATATTTGTCACAATTTGATCTATTATTTTTTTTAATCTAATTTTTGTATGAAAAAATAATTAAAATAATGATATTTATCTAATTTTAATTTTCTTGACAAAAATATATTAACAAAATTAGGGGGAAAAGTACAGAAACTTCCTGCTGCTATCGTAACGACACGTAGCAGTGAGATTTTCCTTTTTTTTTTTTTTTTTTTAATTATTTTATTTATTTGTTTATATTTTGTTGAAAATTAAAAGAAGATTAGAAGAATGACGGTGTTAAGAGTTGGCGCCTTTAAATCTCGGCGTCAACGTTACGTCTCTCTCATCTTTTATGTTCTTCAGTTTCTTCTTCTTCTTCTTCTTCGATCTCACATTTCGTTCTCGTTCTTTTTTTTATTTTTTTTTATTGTTTCTGATAATTTTCCATTGGAGCTCTGTGATTTTGCGGTACGAAGTTTCATATCCCTAAATTTTGCGTACTCCCTGTTACTGGCAACCTTCTTCTGGATTCCCGTGCCTCTCTGAATCGAAGCGACTAATTCCTGTTCGAAATTTGGTACGCTTTGA